AATGAAGATAATGATGATGATAATGATAATCTAATCATCATTTAAAGAGACTCTAAAATACTTATGATAAAATATAAAACGTTTAGAAGTTTAAAGAAGAATGTAACCAAAGAAAAAGCCGGCAGCTGCAATTTTCTGAAAATACAAGAGTAATTTTTATTCCACAGTGCTATGCGTGTTTGTTGCTGTTGAGACTCACTTGAAGTGTGCCTTAATCATACACCTGGGCGTGTCTTAGTGATTTAAATCTAAGTAATTTCTGGGTAAATGTATAGGATTGCTCTATTAAAAACAAAATGGAAAGATTTAAAACCCTGGGGCAATTCAAAACAACACTGCATTTTTGTTTATAAGTATCTCTTTCAAGAAAATACTAACTTGGTGGGTTTTGTAACTTGGTAGATACTATATATGATTTACTTGAAAAAGTGAAGCTAAATTCATTCTCAGCTGAACCATCTAGAAAAAAAACCTTTTCACAAAATATATTTATTTATTGAATGTTTCACTTTGTTGATCAGGATGTGAAACCTTTATGTTTCAAAGTTGTTCTTGCTGGTGTAGGATAAACATGGGACACCATCACTACACGTACATTATTGACCTCATCATGTTTAGGCTGCATAATATAAAGGAATGTACTGTTGCAGTGAAGATTTGGTTTTCCTTTAAAGGCAGACTTCCATAGTATGATAACTTCGAGACATAAATAGCAGAAGATGTTTTTCCAACAAGTTGTTTTGCTTTGTCTCCCCAAAAGGGATTCTCCTTTGTTGCAGTTAATCTGTAAAATTCATAATTTAGGCTGAAGTCCTACACATATTAAACAAGAGAAAGTCCCACTGAGCTCAATGTGCCTTACTTCTGAGGAGACATGTATAGGATTGCAGTGTGATTTCTTACCTTTCTATAAAGAACATAGAACAGTATTAAACAACCCAATCCTATGCAAATATACTGAGTTCAATGGTGCACATATTTCCAAGTAAGCATGCCTAAGATCAAAGTATAATTTTAAAATTATTCTAAAGGTAGTTTAGGCTGAGTGATGGGGACTTTTCATACATAATAAATTACCATTAAATTTATACCTACCGATGAAGTGATTTTAAAAAAGATCTTGGACTGTGCTGAAATGGACAGATTGACTTCGTCTCTGAAGGAGAAAGAAAATACAGACTTCTATCAAACTTGGAATTCCTTTTATTATTGGCTAGAGAAACGGGACTATGCATAGATTCAAATATGTTATGGATTATCATAAAAAGAAAAAGTTTGGGGGGCTGACCCAGTAGGTCTGATGTTTTTGATGATTGAGGATTTTTTAGTTTCTGTTAGTAGAAAAAATAAAACTTTTTCAAAAAAAGACATTAAGGATTTATGATAATATGCATCATTCGAAGAATAACTTTTTACAGTATGAAACTTACTGCAGCAGGCACCTGAGGCCATCTTCCAAGTGGCCAAAATCTGCAGATTAAGTATGTGGTAACTGAGCAAAGGTTTTCTGCTTGCATCTTAATGATAAAATATCTTCTTCATGGAAATTTACCTCATGACTTCTTTAATATTCTCTAAGCACCTAGTGAAAACTTTTATTTATGCAACACTAGCAGGTTATAGAGTTTTTGGAGGGGGGAATTTCATATCTTGTATTTTTTTCTGAACTATATGAAGTTTTTAGTCTGTTTTTTATCTACAGGTTTTAGGAAAGATTCTATAAACCATTTCAGAGTTCTGTTGATAGAAAAGCAGTATATAAATTTATATATATATTACACTTGCAATCCTTTCACATTTTCTTAGGAGTAACCCCCATTAATTCAACAGTTATTAGTTGGCATGTATAGGGTTGCTCTGTAAATAATTCATTCTGGTTCTCTTGATTTCAGAATGCCTGTGACCTATTAGTTTTTATTCCAGAGCAAATATAAAGCCCTTAAATGACAGTTTAGACTTACCTACATCTGATAATGTAGAAATCAAAACCAAAATAAATTTCTATCTGCAATGCAGAGTAATGCCCTGCTTATGGATGAAGTTGTATAACTTCTAGAAGAGCTTGAATCATATTACTTCTTTTTTCAGTAAACCAGTCCTAATGATTGACTGTTTTTATCAAAAAGTTCACTACCTTGCTATTGAAATATTTTCTTCTTTACGTACTTCGCCTCCTAGTGCTCATGTAAGTTGTGTTAGAGTCCTTCAAGTTCATTTTACAGAGCAAGGGTAGAGAATGCCTACAGACTACCTGGGTTTGGCCAACACAAGACATGGTTATTCTCCTATTGTTGGTCTGTCATGTTGTCTAAATCCACTCATGGTGTTTCGCCATGGTAAGTTTTTTCTTTAACAACCACAATAAGAAACAATGGTTTGTTCTATGATTTCTCCATGCCACCATGGTTTGTCATGGTGACTCAACCCAAGATGTTTTCCATGGTTTTGGTATGTAACTAACCCAAAGTTCCTGAAAAGAGTAGCAACTGCAGGATCCACTCTAGTCAGCCAGCCTTGATGTGTGAACCAATACATAACAGGTAGGCAACACAGGCAAAGAGCAATCCACACAGGCATTGAATTTCTGGCACAGTGGCTAATGGGATATGTGTCAACAACAGGAGGAATGAGCCGGGAGAATGGAAACCATGCTAATGTAGAAACCACTTGGCTATCTGTTGGGTATATCATGGTAAAACATCACAAACCTTGGCAATCACACAGGGTTACTTTTCATGTTGCGTGAATGCAGCTACTTTCTGTATTCATTCATCTTGGAAGTTTCCTACACATATTTTTCCTTCAGAGCAAGAATACTTTGCTTTAGGCTATCTTTGACTTAACTCTGATCTACATTGCCTGTTTCCCATTCTAACTAAGCACTCATTTCTTTGCTCTTTAGAATTTATTGTGCATGCTAGTTAAAACCATTTTACTGAGTTTTATACAGAGTTTGTAATATTTTTGTAATAACTGTAGTAACATAAGAACATAAAAGCCATGCTGAATCAGAACAAAGGTCCATCTAATCCAGCACTCCCCACACAGGGTGGCAAACCAGCTTCTCACAGGATCCCTCAAGCAGGAAGGGAGCAAGACCTCCCCTGCCCAAGCTCCTGAGCAGCTGGTATAAGCAGGTAGGTCACCCCTGGTAAAAGAGGTAGCACATAGTCGGCAAAGCACACAGTAGCAAAAATTCAGAAGACAGACAGAAATAGCAGTCAGAATAGTGAGAGGATTCCACCCTTAAAGGAGGCCTAAAATATTCTTCAATAAATAAAAATGAAAGGAGAGCCAGAAATGAGAAATAGTTTACAATATAGGACTGGGATGCTCTTCTGATGGCAACTATTTTGGTTCCTGCATTTTCAGCAGGCAAAGCTCGCATATTTTTGAAAGCTTTCTTAGTTATTAGGGATTTCTCCAACATCTTTTTGGTTCCTCTTGGAAATGACTCACTACTGAGGTCCCTGTACATCTAGAATTTGTTCCAATCACGCTGTTACTCGGTACTTCAAATAGCTTGCTGCCTAATCCATCAAGTATGCATTCAGAAATTAAATCTGTCTGTGTTCAGTGGAAACTGCACAGGATTGCAGGCTGAATTAAGTCAATTGTCTACTGTGGGGCATGTATTTACAATAAGACTTGTGTCATTAAAAATACTCAAGGATAGGCATTTTGCATTCAGGAGGACTGCTTACAAACAAGTGGTTTCAAGATCTCAGAACCTATGAAAAGGATTGCTTTTTCAAGAGACTCTGTACCTTCCATTATCAGTCCATCCCATGGCCAAAGATCTTCCACCCCGTGCCTGGTGATATCCCACTACCACACCCAATTCAGCAGGTTCTCCTGACTGTAACTAGCATATCAAGGGGCTGGAGGGGGTGCTAATGGAAAGAGGGGGTGGGGGTTCCACATTCCAGTTGGTTCATTGCAGATCTGGATCCAACTCCCAATATTGTAACACAGCAGTAATCATAAAAGGCTCTTGTGATCCATGTCATACCTTTGCTATGTCAGTGAACACCCTGTTCCATGTATATAAGCCTCCACGGGAAAAAGCTTTATCCTGTTGGGAAAATATTTCTTCTTCCAAGACTTTGTCAACAACCATTCATGAACTTGCTAAAGCGAAAGTCCTTTTTATTTGTATTCATGAAATAAAATAAACACATTCTCTTTGATCGTTAACCAACCCTTTCTTGTTAACTTGCAATAGACTTTTATGTTTCAATCTTCATTGTACATGTAATTATTTGAAAAGTGATTTTGTTTTAAATTATTTAGCCTTTTCTGAATTATAGATAAACACAGGCATGTTTTGCTAAAGATTAAAAATAAATTTCACACGACACTGCAAAACGTAGCAAAGATAATAATGTGTAGGCGTCAGTTTGTTCCAAAACAAGACTCTCTGGGGGGCCCTTTTAACACACTGCGACGTTAAAATCGTGTTCTGAAAGCCTCAGGAAACCCCTACTTGAACCCACCCTTTCCTGAAACTGGTGAAAGTATTTTGAAAAATACTGCAGTGAAAAAAGCTACTGCTAACATATTGCCAAACCAGATTGTTTTGTTTGGTTACTATTCCCAACTGTTTCAGCTTTCAACATATTGATAATG